TGACCCTCACCTCTGTCTTCTCTCTCCCCACCTTCCTGTGTGGACTGGGGAGGAGTGGGGAGGGGGCTGAGCTGAGGGCTTGTTCTTCCATCTCCCAGTGAGCTGCGGTGTACCCAGCTGCTCATGCTCAACTAACACCTTGGCCTCCGGTTCTGGGGTCCCAAGAATCCTGTGGGAGTCCACGCAGGGCAGGGTGGTGTAGTGGCACCTGTAGGTCGGGGAGGGCATCACTCCTGACTCCTGCTCTGCCTCCGGGATCCTGATAACGCAGGCCACCTCCTGTCACCTCTCAGAGGTGCTTTCCTCACAAATCCATCACTGGCTCACACTGTTGTAAGTTGTCGCAGCAACCGTCCTGTGGGGGGCGTGCTTCCGGGAAGGCACACTTAGGAAGGGGACCGGAGTGTTTAAGGAAGGAACAGCCAAGAGGGCCGAAGCAGAGGGACCACGTGGCCTGGTCCCAGCCACACTGCTGCCACTCCTGTCCCTGGGGAATAGATAGCCCAGCCTCACCCTGCCCCCCAGTCTCCTGTGGCCCATCCCCACTGGAGGCTGGAGGCCAGAGGCCAGGGGCCTGGTTGCTGCAGTGCTCAGAGAGGGTCTGGGGCTGAGAAAGCTCACTCTGGTGCTACCGGTCCCTGCCAGGCTCCTGACCCCAGTGTCCTGGAGGGGCAGGTCCCAGGCTGGGCTGCTGAGGGCACGAAGGTGCTGGCTGAGGAGGCAAGTGGGCTGCATCTGCCTCTAGGGCTTTTTCCCTAAATGCACACCAGCCACTGTATAGGGTGGCAGGGCTCCGGTCCCAGGTCCCCTTCTGTGGCCTCCTGAGGCTTTTCCGGGGCTGCCCACTGGCCTATCGGCGGAACGTCAGCCCTATCATCCACCGCCCCACCCCCAGACCATGGGAGTCTCCTTGGTCTGCCTGACACCCTTCCCCCATCCTCTGCCCGGTGTCTCTCCAGGCCTGTATGGCCACCATGTTTCAGTGTGTGCACTTCTGGGGCTGGAAGGCCCTGGAAATCAGCTCGGGCCAAAGGGACAGCAGTGAGGCTGATGGGATGACTGTTTTCCAGACAACGCTGTGCTCCATCCTGGTGAGGAAGCTGAGGGCCATGGGTCTGTTGGAGGTTGGGTGCCCTGGGGCTTGGGGCTTAGGGTCACAGCTGCCACAGACTCTGTCCTGTGAGCCTGTGCTCACCTCACGGATATGAAACGTCAAGACCAGCACCGTCCAACAGAGGCAGAATGCAAGCCACATATCCATACATTTTCTGGTAGCTATGTTAAGAAAAATGAAAGAGGTGAAACCAAATTGAATAATAGATTTTATTTAACCCAGTGGATCCAAACCATTGTCATTTCAACATGTAGTCAATGTATAAAGTATTAATGTGATATTTTATGCTTTTGAGTTACTGTCATCAAAATGCAGGAAGCTCTTCATGACTGGTCACATTTCAAGTGCCCAAGGTCCATATGTAGCCAGCGGCCATGGTAGTGGACAGCCGCTCCATTTGTAGACAATATTGTCTCTTCTCTGGGCCAGACAGAATGTAACAGAGGTCCGAAGGTCCTTATGTGGTCCACCTGCTAGTCTGCTGTGTGATGCTGGGGTGGGCACTTGCCTTCTCTGGGCAGACCCTTGCACATCAGACAGATGGGAACACACTTAGATGATCTCTAGGATCTCATCCTCCCTGGTTCTGTTCATCCCTCGTCTTTTGCAGACTCAGAAAAAGCCTGCCGTGCTCTATAACTTCTTACTAGAAACAATGACCTACATTAATAGTAACTTGCCACGGATCAGAATTTCTGCCTGCAACCTGGCAGGTGGGTGAGCGTGTCTCCTGATGTGGGAGGGGCATTGAGGGCCAGACCTGAGCCAGGGAGCAGGGTAGGGGACAGACTCTGGTGGAAGTCCCTTTCTCTGTGTCCTCTCCCACTTAGCTTCACACCTGCCTGTTTCTCTATTAAGCATCTTCAGCGGAGTCCTAAACCGTTATCTCAAAAGGCAAAACAGACTCTCTTGCTCACCCAGTATTTGCGTGATGAGCATTTTGCTGGCTCTCGTTTTAGGAATTATTATGAAGCAGATGTCTGCACACCATCTGAGAAAACTGGACTTCCCAGCATTAAGGAATTGTAAGTAATAGAGACTCATACTGAGTGCACTAACCTCATTTGGGAAGAGCCAGCCAACCCTTCCCTTGTATAATCAGGGCACAGAGGGCTGTGTGAGCCTGCAGAGGTCTTTCCAGGAAGACAACAAGATGGGCGTGGAGTCCTTTCGTGCCTTCTGCCCGCCTCCCCATTACAAATATTTACGAAATGTTTCCATCCTGACTCCTTCAACCGATTCATGGGGCGCCCAGGTTCTGTGGGTGATCTTTCTGTCCCTGGTGGAGAAGCAGCCGAAGGCTCAAGATGGGGGACATGTGTGCGGGCACAGCTCCACCTGCCGTCGTCTGGCTGCAAACACAGGGGTTCCCCTTCTGCAGCCCGCATGAGCCCCATTCTGTACAGGAGGTCTGGTTGCGGGGGGGCTTCTACCAGCTCAGGGGCCCAGCCTCGCCGGTTCCTGATTCTCTCCTGTCTGTGCTCACTCTCAGCTCTCCAGGAGCTACAGCTTGACTCGGACCCTGAGGTCCACAGGGCAGCCCTGGAGACTCTCAAAATCTTGGATACGTGTAGCCAGCAGCCGCTTTTGTCTTCCCCTGGAGGATTTTGCTAAATGGTTCGAATGTAAAATGTAAACTGCCCCCTCGGAGTGACAAACCACAGCTGGACCGCAGCGAGGCAAAACATTTTTAATTTAGTTTGTTAAGAAAAACATCGTTCTAAAATAGTCAGCGTCCCTTTTTTCCCTCCCCTTGAAATAAACCTCCATTTCCGTTGGGAGTGCAGATTTCTGATTATAAGGTGACAACATCTCAGAGCCAAGGCAGCAGGGCAGAGGGAGAATTTAGTCCCCACGATTCCCTGGAGTGTGCGAGTGTCTGAATCCAGTCTGAAAGCCAGGCAGTGAGGGGAGGCAGGCTGCTGTCCAGCCTCTGCCCCGTCAGGACCTGACCCTTGAAGGGAAAAGAGACATCTGTGCAGGGACCATGATAGGCAGCCAATTAAGGAGGGCTGCAGTCGGTGCAGAGGTGTGGGGAGCGGCCACCAGCCTAGGGACCATGGGGGGTGTCTTGGGGAAGTGATACCGCATCAGGCCTGCCCTCACTCTTCCCACAATGGGGCCTGGCGACAGGCTGGGACAGGGACCCAGCAGAGCCCGGAACAGAACTTGGCTGAGGCTCAAAAAGGAGAAATGATCGCCACATTCAAGAAAGAGGCAGGGTAGAGGGGAGGCAAGCAGGGGAACGTTTCGGGACGCTCAGGCCAACAGCAGAGTTGTCTGCAATTGTCTCCTGAGCAGTAAGAGTGGGACTGCGGGCTGTTCCACGATGACCGCCCAGGGCAGTCACGACCCTGGGCCCCCTGGCAGGAGAGGGCTGTGGGTCAGGGCAAAGAACCATCCGTGGGTGCAAGGCTTCCTGGACAGTGGTTTTCCCGTTGTTTGGTAGCTCCCATGGAATAGATTTCGACGGTGTTTCCTGCCAAGTGCTGAGAAGCTCTCACTACTGACAGACCCGAAGGCCACCGATTCGGGCAGGATCAGACATGTCACTTGGGGCAGGCGTGGAGGAAAGAGCTTTGGTGGCATACAACCAGGCTTTATCCACTTCGTGCCTGTGCAGAACATCTCTAGAGGGTTTCTGGACCTTAATTTGAAAAGCAAAGATGTAAGACGGAAGAGTATTTTTAATCCTGAGACTAGGTTTTCTCTAAAAAGTTAACAGCAGATGCCAGAAAAAAATAAAGGGTTAGGTTATCTGACTGTTAAAATGTAACTTCTTTACAGTAAGGTGCCATGAAGTTAAATGACACATCACAGACGGAAGAAATTACTTGCAATTTATTCCAGACCGGATTGGTTTGTATAATTGAACTGGCAACCAGGACATACCCAGATTAGTAAGAAACAAAGCAAATGAAAAGCCAGTTCCCCAGAAACGCAATCTGCCATTCGTTTCACAAACCAACCTCCCCCCACGCCCGCCCCGAGTGGCGCCCACTGGTGGCAGTAATGGGACCTCTTCTATTACCAGACTGAATACTGGAATAGCCATTTGGGAAAGCCATTTGGCAAAATTAGGAGTTGAAGACACCTATCCACGACCAGCTCACATCTAGATGTATGCCACAGGTAAGCCCATGCATGCACTCGAGGATCGCGGCTGCACGCTTCCTTAGCAGCAGACACCCAGCGGGATCGCGGAGGAAACCAGCTACCTAGAATCTTGATATATGATACCAGCACCCATCAGCTCCTGGCAAGCGCTAACACCTTTTGGTGAAGCCAAGACGTGGAATACATGTAGTACTAAACTGGGCATGTTAAAAATACCCACCATCCCACATATAGTCTATGGCATCCTTTATTGGCAGATCCTATCGATTACCCAAGACCTGTGCCTGAGCTCTTCTAGCTTGCCTTCTTCTGCTAGGTGACCCTGCTATTCCAGCCTCTCCAGCAGCGAGAGCCTGGCTGGGCCAGAGAACAGTAGCACAGGCCTGCTGGGTAGGAGGCAGGTGGTGTGGTGGGGGTTGTGGGGCGGTGGCGGTGTGAGCAAATGCTTGGTCAGGGATGCTGTGTGGTTGCAAGGTTTGGGACCATCCCGGGACTATCTGAATACAGCACGTTTTCAGCTAAAAACTTTAAGATGTTAGGAATTACTTTTCAGGGATGAGCTAATGTTTTAATTTGCTACTTGCTAACATGGAAGAGACCAGGTCCCTAGTTCTGAATTTAAACCTTAAACCCTCATATCCGGGGCGGACATGGGTTTTAGAGCAAACAAGGTTCTCTAACGACTGGGAATGGAGAGCTTTCTGAGGATGTGTGTACATTTTAAAAAGAACACACAAGGAAAATAAGCCTATAAAGGATCACATGAAAAATTTTAATTGAGCAACTTTATTCAAATAATTTCTACACCAAGAACTCAGAGTCATTCCAAAGGGACAAGTTTCACTGAAATTTGCTTTGAAGGGCAGATAAGTGAAGCCAGCTCTCACATATTCTTGAGGATTAAACACACACAGAGTAAGGGGGAAGAGGGACAAACTCTTAAAAAATAACTTGGCTATACATCTTCAGCTTTCAATTTTTCTGAGTACAAAGTCACTTTTCTCTTCCATCTTGAAAGGTGTGTTCTTTCCTTTAGAAAAAAAGAAAAGGACAAGGAAAATTATTTCAGTAAAATTCCACTAGAATTCCCATGCCACCAAAACCTTAACTGTTCTGTATTTATTCCACTGCATATATATATATAAGCATTTGTGTGTCCACTATAGAAAATGTGTCAAGGATGCAAAAACCCGCCGAAGGGTTACCCGCCTCCAGGGAGCAGCGCCATCTGGTGGTTATGCCCATGAACCAGGTGGTTCCTGGCCTGGCATCAAGGGCCTGGACCGACTCAGGATTCGAGAAAGTCTTCAGCTATTCAGCTACACTCCCTTATTTATAGAGTAAGAGACAGAACCTGCCTGTTGGATGAGACCTATCTCATCAAGGGGGTCGTTGCGGATTAAGGGAGGAGGCGGTGAGAAGGCTCTGCACAGCCAGGCACACAGAAAGGGACTCAGATGTCAGCCATTAACAATGCCTTCTGTAGGCAGCTCAGGAAGATTTGGTCCATTTTCTCAATATTTATAAGTAGAAAAAGAAGAAAAATGGTTAAGTGTGTTCATGCCACAGCTTTAAGATGGAACTGTGAGAGGCCTCCAGGGCATGGCCACCATGACTTACCAAATTCCAGGGGAGCCAGCCCCACAGAGGGCTGAGCTCTCCTCTGGCTGCTCCACTGCCAGGCACAAGGCATTACTCCTCGCTGTGACTGACTTTGGCAGGCCCTCACTGGTCAGGTGAACGAGAAGAGACTGGTAGTCATTGAGAAGGTGGGAAGGGTGGGTCAGCGGCAGTGGAGGCGGAAGAGGGCTGGGGGAGTGACACCCCCCCCCCCCCGCTGAACTCCAGGGGCTGGGTCAGCAGGTGGCCTGACATGGCAGCAAATCTGGGGATGAGGTGGGAAAAGCCACAGAGGTGAAGCTGAGGGACAGGACGATGTAGGGGACAGGTCAGGAGGAACAGAGGCCACCGCATGGTTAAGGCCCTGGGACGTGGCCATTGGGGGCACTGGTGGACAGTGGCTTCAGTGGAGGAGAGGCCGGACAGCAGGCTGGAGGATACAGGGGCAGCTGGAGGAAGTGGAAGCAGAAGGAAAAAAGACCAGACCGCGATTCTGACCCTGAAGAGGCACTGGCTACTATGGGTTGTGTTCATTCAGAAAGGACAAGTCCTCTCCTGCACCCAGCCCCACCTGCAGCCAAAGCCCTCTCAGGTTTTTGGAAATACTCTCCGAGAGTGGGGCCATGTGGGTTTGAATGCCGAGAAGCGTGAGTTGGCAAAGGCAGGGAAGGACCAGTGGGGTCACTCGGGTGGGGACAGTGACAGCTCATGGCTCATCCCTGAGAGGAACGCACGGGTTCCTGGGATGGGTTCACAGTGGGGAAAAGAGAACACGGGATGTTTAGGGGAGATGGGGTCCATCTGAACGGCCACTGGAGGGGGCGCCCGTCTGCTTGGGGCTAGGAGGGAGGAGGGTTTCGACACGACCTCACCTGCCCACACCACCAATGCACAAAACCACAAATGTGTGCTCGTTTAGGAGTCTCATTGCCCAAACCCCGGCCTGGGGACACTGAAGCATGTGCTGGAAAGCCTGGGGCTCATGGGAAAATGGTGATCAATCCACGGTGACTTGCCCCACCCCGCCTTCTTGCATCTTTTCTCCCGAGAAAGAACGGCACACACGCATTCACACGTGACTCAAGTGTCCGCACAAACCAGACTGTAGGATGAGGTTGGACCTCCGTGCCGAACACTGGGTCGCGGAGCAGCAGCAGGTGGCGCAGGCCAGCCGCTCCTGCTGTCCCCGGCAGGGAGTCCAGAAATAGAAGGAAAGTCACTATTTGCAGATCAGTTGTACTTTAGGATGGCTGTTTTTGGAGTAGGACCAGGAGAGGCTGGGAAGGACACAAACTGACAAGGACAGACAGAGCGCACTACTAGTGAGGCTTTTTAGAAAAGTCCCCCAAATGCACTGCCGTGGGAAGTGTGTAAAATGTTCCCGCTAAGAACCCTTTCAGCCCCCACCTCCACACATCCCACCCACAAACAGGTTCTGGATATAAATGCTCATTTCGGAGGAAGGAAAAGAATTTGGGAGGAAGTTTGCAAAACGAGCATAGAAGAATCATCCTGTAAAACACCCATATTCGACCCACAGAAACGCACCTTCTTTTGCCAGGGGGGCTGTCGGGAGCCGGCTTCTCCCCTGGCCATGGGATGGCGTGGCCCACCACATGCGATGAATCCTGGGAACTGGCCCACTGTCCATACAGCAGGGAATCTGATAATCGGCGTCTCTTCGGAGGGGACTGGTGGCCCCTCGTGGCAGTGAGCACGAAGCTCATTGATGGCTGAGCCTCAAGTGCAGTTGAGCCGAGTGGACTTTCCATGCTCCACTGGGGTGATGCTGACGGCTTTGGGGGACCGTGGAAGCCAGAGTCTGGGTTTGCTTTTTCCAAGGTGCCTCCTCTGGGGTACTGAACTTCCAGGCTTGCTCTATCTGGAGATGTTCCAATACGTAAAGGTGCCTGTGTCTGCTGCGGTGACTGTTGGCAATACTTTTGGTGAAGCTTGTCGAATTTCTCCTTTATTTCATTGTAACGTTTCCTTCCACTGCTTGGAGGCTGTCCGCCAGCTACTGATGTGGCTTTGCTGGGAGATAAGGACTTTCTAAGTATTTCAGGATGGTTTCCTTGAAAAAGGTCAAGGGTCTGCTCCGAGCGGACTGGGCTCTGCACGGAGCTGGTTTGGGGTTCGCTGTACCAGCTCACTGTCCCAATAGCTCGTTCACCCAGGTCTTCAAAAGCCTCGTGGAACCTGCTGAGCCTGCGGGTTTCTAAGCCCCGGGGGCTGCAAGGGCTCGCTGGACCACCCCTGTACACGGCCACTGCTGAGGGTCCTGGGAGGGAAGTCAGGCAGGAAGGCAGGCAGGCAGTCTGTTTCCCAGAGTTTGGGCAATATTCCTGATGAAGCTTATCAAATTTGATTCCAATTTCCCTGTAACGATTCCCTCCCTTGTCCCGCAGTACTCTTGGCCTGGAAACGATTTTTACAGGAGAAATTAACCATTTTAGTGCCCTAAGTCTATTTTCCTGACCGAGGTGATGCATTGTACAGGTTCCTCCGTAAGTCAATGAACACCCCTGAGGCATTAAACTCTTCAACCCCTTAAGCTCCTTCCAACGTGGATCTAACTTGTGGATCTTGGGTTTGTTGACTTCAGGGAAAGCTTTTTCTAATTCTACCCCTGCCTTCTGGCCAGAAGCATCTAGAAAGTTCTCGCAATCTCTTAACACTTCCCTGTCCTTCAGTGGCTCGGAACAGGATGGGAGTGGCTCCCGGGAAGCCCTTCGAGAGAGCCCGGCTCCTCGGCACTGTGTCTGGTTCATTCTGTTCTTACACTTGTGCCTCCTCCTGGCGCTCCAGCTGTGAGCGATGAACGAGGTTTTGGTGGAGATAATACACGCCGGTTTTGTGCTCAGCAGCCGGCTCATCGAGTGCAGCATGCCGGCATACAGGTCGCTGATGGTCACGTCACAGATGATGTCGGCCTCCAAGGCCGGGCTGCTTGAGCGGCTGTGCCCCCCAGCCCCCTGGAACATGAGACTGTCGCTTCTAGGCACGAGGGCCAGGTCTGCTGGATCACACTCCCCAGGCCATGAAGCCGGCTTAACCGGGCTGCCAGGACTCCTTCCAGACACATGGCCACGGCTTCCTGGAGGAAAACACACACAAGGTAAAGTGCCACCGTTCAAGAAGGTGCAAGACCACAGAACTAAAGGGTGGATGGGGATGAGGCTTTTTAAAGCAAGATAAAAAAGAGGAAAGTTTCATGAAAATATAGAACTAGATTTTTCTCGGAGATTTCTTTCTAGCTCTCAAACTTAAATTTCTACTCTCCTCCCAAAACTTCCCCAGTGGGTCTTCCTTCCCGGGTGATGGTGTACACGCTGGATGCCTTTTTCAAAGTCTCAGAAGAAACCAAACAATGACACGTTTACCTTCAGGGCTCGGGGGCAGGGAAGACACAGGACTCCCGGATACACCTCTTCATGCAGACTGGACTTGCACATGTGCCATGTTTTATGTAGTTAAAAAATAAAATTAAACCAACGAGGATAGGGAGAACTCTAAAAAGTGAAAACAGACCCAGAAAGCACTCAAGTGCTTATCAAATTTATGATAATGGCAGGAGGAAAAACAAGTCAAATGATTTTGAACACTGTACTCAGAATGGGTAGCCTCTGGGACACTGCGTGAGGATCAAAGAGCTGCTTCAAACTCTGGAACCTTCTTGAGCAGGTTGTCCAAGTGATAGCAGGAGCCGTGACTCTGAAACAGCTCTGCACTGCACGACCAGCCAGATGAGTAGAGGGTTTTGGCACTGGTGATCACAGGGGCGGGGGGCGACCGTGGAGTCGGGGTAAGGGCACGAAGTGCTCAAAACTGACGCGGCAGGAGGGAGGACACAGAAGCCTGTGAGGAGGGCTCCTATGGCCTGTGTGTGGGACAACTTGAGCACCAGTGGCTTCTAACATGAGTGAATTAAAAGAGAAAAAAAATGTCCAGGAGTTCTTATTGATTCTAGAATTTTTTTAAAGTAAAACCATGTGGGGATCAAGGAAGGAACAAAATTCAGGAAAGAAGTGAGACAGTGCTTGTTTACAGAATGCCAACAGGTGCGCCCGGTGGGAATGGCAGGACCAGAATAGGGTGGGTTTGCAGCACCGACTTAGGCAGGAGTTGGGGCCCAACACCAAAACCACGGGGTGGGAGGTCTGTGGGGAACCAGGTGATCTCAGAGGGCACCCACAGATGACTCTGAGGAAGTGAGAAACCTGGGAGGGTCCTCCCTTAGCCAAGTGCCCAGGCTGGAGAGTCACTAACAATGGGACAGAGTGATGGGACGTCCTTGGAGAACACATACCATCTCTGCATTATTTTTGCGAAAAATGTTTAACATGAACTTAACCTGGAGGAAGTCCAGAGAAGTCCAAACTGAGGGACGTTCTGCAAGACTACCAGCGGCCAGGACTATTCACGAGATAGGAGATGGCCCAGGAGCCTTCTGGCCTGTGCAGGACAGCTCCACCCAGGCCTGGGGTTTCCTTGTTCTTAGCAGACCTGCCAGCCTTAGGGACAGCACAGATGTGAACGCTGGTCAATGGACATGGTGCGTGGGCATGGGGGCAGTGGGCAGATAAGCAAATGCCACAAAATGTGGATTATTACATGCAAGCAAAGGATGTTTATTGTTGGAGTCCTGTGTTTCTGAAGATTCAAACATTTCACAACAGTATGTTGGGATAAAGAGCTAATTAGCAATTAGTGCCACAATGCCAGAGGGAAAAAGCAGTCTATTAGTTAAATATGAATAATTTATCTATTAAGTGTTGGTCTAACAGTTTATGTCAATGAAACATGCACATAAGCAGAAGGGGCACGGTTCACACCAAGTTTCTATGTCACACTCACCATGGGCGGGCCCAGCAGGTGAGGCCAAGGAAGGACTCAATGTCACATGGGTGTCCTCTCCATCTCCATCGTCAGTACACTGAAATCAAAGCATATGATTTAACACATGGGGGTGTCCAAAGCTGTCCCCTACAGCCAGTGCCAGGCCCCGCAGGATGGTATGAGCTGCTCCTCCCCAGCCACAGGCCGTGGGTCTGAGCTCAGCAGCAGATGTGACAAGTGTGACCACAATCCCAGTGGCTGCAGCCTCTAGCAGTGGTGGGAGGAGGTGTCTTAGTAAAATCTGGGAGCTTGTCCATGTGACCCTCAGGGGACCCCCCCCCAGAGGGTCATTGCTGCCACCCATCTGCCAGGACCCCACCCCCCACTGCTCTAGGATAAAGGGAAAGGCCATTTCCAGTACATCCACCAATTCAATGGTCCTCAGCCATGGCCTTCTCACTGGTCAGCAACACAGTAAGAAAAAGTACATGTTCCTATGAAGTTTGCTGCCTTTGAGATAAATGACTCTTCCCATGTCACTTACCTCCTAGTTACTAGATATGAAAATGTCCTTTATGAGAAGACCCTGACAGAACTTGGAAAGCTAGGGCTGGCGTCCTTGCTATGTCAGACCAAGCTCTGGGAGACTGGCTGTGGGGGAGTGTGGTGGGCACCCACCCTGGGCAAGGGCCCGGCGGGGCAGCCTAGACCTCAGCACGGACCGCCCGTGACACAACCGCAGGTCAGGTGCAGAGGGCACTTGCTGCCAGTGCCAGCCCGGTCACCCCAGAGCCGCAGGGAGCGGGGAGCTGCTGCTTCCCCATCACTGCCCCCAAGGTGGGGCCCCTTACATTTCTGTGAGCTGCTCCAGAACAGAGGGCGACGGAGGACGCATCCCACGAGCTTCCCTGATCCCTGCTGCCCCCAAGGACCTGGAGCGCTTCCTCAAGGAGAGTGGAAGTCTGCAAGCCCGGGAATGATATGGTTTCTAAACACTTGCTTCGGAGGCTCCTTCCGGGCTCCACAGAGAGTGAACAAGAACCTGATTGGTGGGCCTCCGTGTGTCTCTAGGATTCAATTATCAGAAGATGCACGCCGGGAAGCACGTTACCTCTGAACGTCCTTCATCCTGGAGCAGAACATCCACCTGGGTCAAGTATTTCCTCCTTAACTCGTTTTTCGAAGGGCTCCAAGGCACTGCAGGCTGATACAGAAGCGAATCAGTATTCGTAAGAGCTTTTGGGTCTGGATGAGCTCTTGGGTGCTGGAACAAACTGGCAAGTTCATTAACTACACATCAGTAAATGAAGTTCTTCAAAGTCACTTTTTGCTCCTTGCTGTTAGTGCAAAATGGTCCAGATCCTCTGAAAATCCTTTGGACCCAGAAATCAAACTAGATCATTTACCCAGGGGCAACCATCCAAAAGAAAGAAAAAAAAGACAAAAAAGAGAAGTCTGTGGAAGTTTAGGACAGCATTCCTAGAACAGAAAATAATTTAAAACAATCTGAATATTCTTAGGTGAGTTCAGGACTCAACTGTGAGAATCAGCCCTGATCAGTACATTTACGAGAAAAGATGTTCAGCATTTTGGCTAAGGAGGCAGAAGAGCGGCCTCTCTGTTTCCCTTCTGCCAAGCACGGGGGAGAGGGCGTGTTGACCTTCACCCTGCACCGGAGTGGGAAGCCAAAGGGGGATAAAGGGGATAACACAAACACACATTGTCCAGGATGTTTCTTATTGCTGGGACCACCTACTTCCCCTTCACTGCCACCCCTATGTAACACTTCAAAAAGTACCCTTCTTCCAGGGTCACAGCCATTCTAGTTAGACACTAAAAAGTCAAACCGGGTTTATGGCAAACTCTGGATGAAAACAGCAATTTTAGGGAAAAACCCACATGCGAGCTCTTCCAGCATCTGACACTGGGGCCAGGAAAGACACCCCACTAGACTAAGTTCTCTGTGTATTCTCGTGTATCCCAATGGAGGGAGGGTGAGATCGGATCCTGATGGGTAAAGAGTCAGGTGGTTCTGGGCCCACTGGGACCACTGGGCCACTCTGGGTGGCAGGCAGATCTATGGCCTGATGACGTGACCTTGTGACAACATGGGCTTCCAAGGGCTGACCTGGAAATACTCCCTGGAAACAACTTCCTAATGACACTGCCTCTTAGGCAAAGGCCAACTTAGAACCTAACTTTTAATATCACGATCAAGGGTATGGGTGCACAGTGAACTGTGATGGTTCAGACGGAACATCATCCAACATTTTTTTTAAGTTCAGTAAACCAGGCTTGAACCGGGGCAGTGAAGACTGCCGCGTGCTAGACAGGAGGAGAAGGAGGATCAGAGACATGAGGGGTGGTATTAGCAAAGAGTGAGTCTAAAGAGGACAAGATATACACTGGAAATGAAGACATGCTCTTGTACCCCTGAGTCCTGGCTTGGTCCCTTCATTCTAACAGGTGGGTCTTACCATGAAGGACCCAGCAATCACGTCTTCCTGATATAAAGATGCATCATCACTGTTTTTTGAATCTGAAAGCAAAAAAAAGGAAATCTCAATCAGCATTTTAAAGAAACCTTGCATTTTCTCTTAAGGATAGTGTTTGCACCATTAGAGTATGTTCTAGAGTGCTCCCTTTAATAAGGACACAGCCATCTGTCGCTGTCCTGATTACTAGCAATGCAATAAATCCATCAGGGCAGGAATATGACTGGAGAAGCAGCTTTCTTTCTTTCCTTCTTTTTTTTTTTTTAAATATTTTATTTATTGAGTGCCTGGTGGCTCAGTCCTTAAGCGTCTGACTTTGGCTCAGGTCATGATCCCAGGGTCTCGGGATCGAGGCCCACATCAGGCTCCCTGCTCAGCGGGAAGCCTGCTTCTCCCTCTCCCGCTCCCCCTGCTTGTGTTCCCGCTCTGTCAAACAAATAAATCAAATCTTTTTTTAAAAAAAGATTTGATTTATTTGTTTGAGGGAGAGCTTATGTAGGAGCTGGGGGAGGGGAGAGGGAAAGGGAGAAGCAGACACTTTGCTGAGGGCAGAGCCCAATGTGGGGCTCAATCCCAGGACCCTGAGATCATGACCTGAGACCAAGTTAGATGCCCAACCACCTGAGCCACTCAGGTGCCCCTGGAGAAGACTTCTATCACCTTGAGCTCCTTCGATTGCCTCTGATTCTAGAAGCAGAGTCACTGTGGCCCAGGGCTGTTGTCCACCTCCCTGCTGTCTGCTATGTCAGCCAGTGTGGCCGGTGAGCACTTGGAATGTGGCTCTGAGGCTGGGGAACTTTAAATTAAATTTTATTTAATGTTCAGTTCATTTGACTATCCACCGGCGACGTGTGCCATCACATTGGAGAGTGCAGCTCTGGAATAACCATTCTAATTATTTCAAGCAGTCCAGGAACTCATGGAACTAAGGATTTGTGGAGTTGTAGTTGGGATCAATGAGTGAACACCTTCATTAAGGTCTTCCTAGTTCTACTTGGCAAGACCGCCCTGTGTTCTCTGAAGGACTGAATCCTTTTTTACAGCTGGCCTGGAGCAGGTGAGCTGCTGGCGAGAGCTGGGCAGAGCACACGAAGCCTGTGGAGGACCAGTGCCAGCAGGAGATGGGGGTTTTGGGCCAGTTACAAAGTCTGACATTACAGACCTACAGTCTGGTTAACTGCTATCTGGAGAAGGGCTGGTATATGGAGCCTGGGTGAAGGTGGGGGTCTGTTCTGATCTGGGGGTCAGGGGGCTTCCTGGGGGCAGTGAAACATGGTGGGCAGGCCAGGATTCTGCTCTTCGTCCCAAGAGCAACAGGAAGCCACTGTAGTGCTTTGAGCAGCGAAGTGGCATGCCTGGATGGGCGCTGTTGCAGGTGCAGCAGGGGAAGGGCTGGCACTGTGGGGGTATGGCAGGGCACAGAGACAGAGCTACATGAGGGACGGGGGAGGCAGAGGCACAGGGAGGGAGGGAGGGGCTGGGTTTGTCTCATATTACAGATGTGCCAAGGGCAATTCTTCTGGTTGACCTTTTCAGTTTAGATGTGCCAAGTTTAGACTGAGAAGAGAGGCTGACAGGGTCTGGGCTGGGGGTTGCACCACGGTGAGGGGCTCAGACCAATCTCAATAAAGGGCATCTGGTAGAGAGGGGAGGTGGGCTGGCAGGAGGGGGGTGGAAAAGGAAGAAAACCCACAGGGCCATAGACTAAAGCCAGGATTTCCAGAAGCTCCAAATGCTACCAAGAGGGCAGTGGGATAGAAGCCCCAGAATGCCAATGAGTCAGCAACAGGGTGGCTGGGACCACTGAGAGTTCCGCCTTCCAGATGGAGTCGGGAGCCAGGATGGAGCTGGTGGAATGCCTGGCAGGTGGGAAGCAAGGGCAGCTCCTGTAAGTTGGGTCGTGAAGGGAAGTCAAACCAATGCAGAGAGAGGGACACAGGGCAGGGAGGCCTGTCAACTATGCCTGAGGTGAAATCTGAGTTTGTTCAACACTGACGGGCTGCACAGGGCTGAGGGAGACGCCAAAGAGAGAAAGGCAGTGGCGACAGATTCCCCAGAAAACAGGCTGGGTCGGGGTTTGGGCAGCCTGGGACTGGCCTGGGGCAGGGAAGGCAGCCCCATGGAGGACAAGGTGACGCAGAGGCAGGAAGACATCCCACAGGAGTCAGCAGTTCAAACACCGCCCTGTGGGGCCAATCTGAAGTCTTATGAAATTCCTGAGATGTTTTTAAGAGGGGCAATAAGTTAAAAAACAGATGGAACCGTGTACATGCATTCTTCAAGAAGGTTTGAGGGCTGTTTAGGTGTCAAGAACCGTGATGTAACTAAGCAAGATAGAAGGAACTAGCAAGCACTTTAAGATGCTCTTGTTTTTAAAATAACCTTGGAAAAAAGTCCTAGTGAGGGATCTGGACTTTGAATGCTGTACTGGGGACCCATGCTCCTCCCGAACTCGCCACCTAGCACAGGGACACTCACCCACTGCCAGGACCTGTGTGCCAGGCACGGGGGGAGCTGGACCTCTGGCGCTGGCTTCCGCGGGGCCGCCATCACTCCTGCTGACTGCCTCCACCGTGGAGTCCTCAAAAGCACAGAAGTAGATCAAGACAGGCTCGACTCAGTGACAACCCACTTCAAAGCCATGGTGAAGTAGCAGCCCTACAATCCTCCCTTTAGCGTAAGAGCACAGGGTTTCATGCACTTCTAGTATCTTCCCGCATAAAGGGCCTCGAGACTCCCTTTCAATGGTAGGGCCTCTCCTCAGAAGGAACGGCTTTCTTCCTCTGGGTGTGCCTGGGCTGCTATTACCAAAGCCACTCGGATGGTGAATTGTGGATGGCAAGGGAAGGAGTAGGGGAAGCAAGGAGCAAAGATGGGAATGCAGGGGCCAGACCGCTGCGCACGTGTGGGTGCCATACAAAACCCAAATGCCACAGGACAGCCTTGCCACTAGATCAGCAAATAGAACCTGGAAATCTGAGAGGCAGAGAGGAACTTCCTGTGATCTCACCTGTGACCCCGTGCCTGTGAAGCCAGTTCTCAGGGGCAGTCAGCTGGCCTGACCAGGGCTCACACCACAGGGGCAGCCAGTGGGCCGTGGGCCCACACTCTATGGTCTGGTCTCTACCTCTGGCCTCGCTAACAATCCTGACGAATGCCATCCATGGGTTCTCATTAGTAAAATTTGAGAATTCAAGACACCAGATTGGCTAAAGGAGCTTAGGAACTCCCCCGCCTCACAAGAACAGGAGTCAGAGCATGGTGAGGCCTGTCCCTGCAGGTGCCACCTCAGGATCAGGGGGGTTTGTGGCTGGCTGTGAACACTGCCTGGTAACTGAATCCTGTCTTGGGGAATGTCGCCCCCTTTGCCTCAGGTGAGGAGGGGCTGAATCACCTGGAACAGATAGGAAGAACTAGAGAAGCCTCTGGAACTGTTTCATGGCTGCTGTGTCTGGAGGTGAGGCAGAACTTGATTGGAAAACTAGGGGAGGGTGCCTGGGTGGCTCAGTGGGTTAAGCCTCTGTCTTTGGCTCGGGTCATGATCTCAGGGTCCTGGGATCGAGTCCTGCATCAGGCTCTCTGCTTGGCAGAGAGCCTGCTTCCTCCTCTCTCTCTCTCTCCCTGCCTCTCTGCCTATTTGTGAGCTCTCTGTCAAATACATAAATAAATTCTTAAAAATAAAACAAAAAACACACACAAAAAAAAACCTAGGGGAAGCTGAGCCCTGGGCACTGACGTCCCAGCAGCTGGAAGCTCTGGGGCTCCAAAAAGAACCCGGGCCTTGTGTTGGGACCAGACTGATAGGTTAACACACACATAGCCCACCGTGGCTTACTGCCTCCCACAGCCTCCAGGCACCATCTTGGGGGTGCGGAGCAGCTGAGTTTCTGGTTGTCTGGGAGAAGAAGGCAGAGTTGGGCACAGTCACACATAGTAACTTTGGGGGGCGGCAGAGGTCTTAGAGGTCAGCACAGAAGACGCCTAGTTTTCTAATCTTAGGAGAGGAGCTCAAAATTCCATAGATCCCAGGCAGCAGTGCTCCTACATTTCAAGCAAACACCTCAAATAGGGGTGCCTGGGTGGCTCAGTCAGTTAAGTGTCTGCCTTTGGCTCAGGTCATGATCCCAGGATCATGATTCCACACTGGGCTCCCTGCTCAACTGGAAGCCTGCTTCTCCCTCTCCCACTCCCCCTGCTTGTGTTCCCTGTTTGCTGTGTCTTTCTCTGTCAAATAAATAAAATCTTAAAAAAAAACCTTAAATAAATGTGCAGATGAAAACACTTGGCTACCCAGGCCGTTCAAATACTGGTCTGATCGGTGGGCATCATTATTAAGCATAATTTAGAGTGCAAATCCTTTGACCTGATGATCGCAACTCCTGGGGACTACTAGATAAGGGCCAGTATAGGCCCTGGGAAAACACAAAGATGGTCCTTCAAGGGGTATTTATAACAGGGGTCTTATAAAGCTCAAGGGAACACAGCCATGCCTGTTCATGTATGGCATACAGGAGCCTTCCCCTCCTAATACAGAGCAGAGTAGCAGGAAACACACAGCCAGCAAAGCCTAAAATACTTCTCATCTGGCCCTTTGTCGGAAGTGTGCCGATCCTGGTTTATAATAAAGGAAGGTGCAAACAGCTAAATGCCTATCCATGAGAGCAGTTTTGAAAAAAAGGTAATTGAGCGATACAATGGATGATGAAAAAAAATGTTCACAACATATATTATGTGGAAAAAAGAGGGTGAAAAACGTGTGTATTATAAACAGGAATTATGTTATACTAAAATATCATGAGTGACTGTAGAAGTTAGGTTGATTTTAATAGTTACATGTATCTCTAACATTTCTACAACCAAATACATGATGTGTGTGATGAAAATAATCAGGAAGAAATTTTATTTCAGAATTCCTGTTAATGGTTTGGGAATCCTAATCCTGATGTTTTCATTCTGGGGCACAGGCTTCTTGGCTGAGAAGTAGTCATTAAGGGGATCCCAGACGTCCTTGCAAAAATTACCGTGGCAAGACTGTGAGTCTCCCAGCCGGAAGGCAAACTGTTTTGGCTCCTCCCATGAACATAGCAGGCCACCTGTCTCAGTGTCCACAGATAAACTTGGGAAAACCACACAGGGGTTTTGGAAGGGAGCTCCATGGGGGAAAGAGGCGTGATCCCGCACCCTTTCCCTAATCTCTTCCCTTTGCAGAAGAGAAAAGAGGCATGTTTCCTCAAAGCAACTGGTTCGGATCTTTTCTGCAAGGGCCCAACAAAGTAAGCTCACAGCTATGGATGCAGCTGGGGCAGGAACGGGTTTCTCCCTCCAGCCAGCCCTGCCCATGGGGCTGTTGTCAAGAGCCCTCCGGCCTAAAGCAGAGGAAACGGGGACAGCTCCTTCTGGTACCTGACAAGCAACAGAAGCAAAGCTTCTCAGAGTAAATACTTAGAGGAAAATGGGGGGTAGCTCGGGTGAGAAAGCCAGAGATCAGGAGCCCTGCGGCAATCTCCGGGGGATCCTGGCGCAGCCACAGCTGACCCACACCTTCATTCACATCGGTATTCCTATATGGCAGCTTGTATTGGCGATAAAATTTGACGTTAAATACCTGGATGTGACCTTTGTTTCTCTCCTTTACCAGTCCTCCACCCCAAATTCTCAATCCTTCAGAAAAGAAATAAAATTAAAATTACCATGTAAGCAATCCTGACCGCTGAATTTCTGTTCAATCTGTGTCAAAGAAAACCAAAGTGGCAGGCAAAAGACAGATACAACACTGAAAGCAAGCCTTACTTCTGATATTCTGTTGTTTTTCACCTATGTGGAGTTGAAGGTTTTTTCTTTAAATTAAGATTAGACAAACACCTGTCGTTAATGAAAGTCTCCTATCTAGGAGGCAACAGCTCATCTAGTTTTATCTTTAAGCCAGAGTTAAATGGGGTTAAAGAACACACATATGCCAAGTATTATCCTTAAAGTAGATATATTGAGAGCAAACTATATATTACACATAGACCGGAAGCACTGTTTGAGGGCAACCTCTCTACCCCATGTTCGGAGTGCTTTCTGAGGGAAGTCTATGAGTACAGAGCAAGGCCTAAGCATGCGGGTGAACGCTGAGATTTGGGAGTCCTGCCACTTACTAGCTAGCAGAACCTGGGCCAGAATACTTGATCTCTTCCTAAACCTCCATTTGCCCCCAGGTAAATTCAAAGTGAATAAAAGGGATTGTTGAGTTGAGATGGTGGCTAATGATGATACACAGTGCTTACAATGATCCAGGCTCTATCCCAAACACTTCCCATGTATATCACATTTAGTATTTACAACTCACATCTGTGGAACTTGTAGAGAAATCCTTACTCTCTAGGAGGTTGGCGCTCACCAAGTTCACTGTACAGATGGAGACACAGAAGCAAGAAGTAGGTCAAGTTCAGCCAACTGGTGGGGCCAGGCTGTGAATCCAGGGCAGTGACTCTCTGTGCTCCTGCCCACTGCACCATGTGGCCTTTCCAGAACACAGTGATGCTTAGCAAATATGCTAACTCAAGTTAAGGCTTTGCTGGTGCGGCAAAGTGACATGGGGCTAGTTCCCTAACCTCTTTCTGCTCCATCTCTGCTATGAAACAATGATCCTAGGACTAGTACCTACCTCAAAGGGTTGCTGAGAATCCAAAACATGAGACTCTCAGAAGCACAGGGCACACGGTTAGTGGTCAACACATGTGAACAACTATTATTCCCCCACTGTCTTCACCACTACGAGTGTGGGAGTGTTAGCTACACTCTACATCTTGTGCTGTTGCCTTAAATTGGGAACTTCTGCCGCAAGGTGGTCCCCTAGCTCTAATCAGAAAGTACCTCCTCAGGCTAAGCAATAGGTCCGGGGAACCGCGCTATCATCAGCCAGGAGCTCTTGAGATCCACTGAATCCACACCCAGCATTGCTGCTGGAGGCCCCAGGAATCTGCGCTATAACAAGCTCTTCAGGAGGCCTTGGTGCTCTGAGTAGAAGTGCTGTCAGCCTGTGTAGATGCTTCAACTACTGCTCTCCTCAAACTGGAGTCAGAGTGGGCTTCACTCTTGTAGTGGTGCTCTACTAGGTATGTGGAGGGGCCAGAATGCTCCAGACACTTGCATATCACGTATATCATGTAAATGTATATCACATCCTTGCAGAGACGGTGCACAAGAAGAGAGTGAAGCCTGGTGATGGCACCCTTAGGAAAGATTCCTACATGGCCCCGTGTCCTGCCCTCAGGTTAGATTTGTCGTCACCTGTCACTATACTTCATCTTACTCAAAACGCCAGAAAGCGATTGTCATCGCTCGACAGAGATCAGAGAGTAAGTGAAATCTGGAGCCGGAATATCTTAGCTTCTGTCTTCATAAACTTTTCACCCATGGGTGGCTGGCTCAGCTAAAAAGGCAGACAGCTAACCCTTTATTTAACTTCAGAAGCTGGTCCTACAAAACTTCTAGGGCCTGCCTGTCCAGTGCACAGCAGAGCTGGATGTGAGATTTGCCTTCACTAGTGGGTCAGAATGAGCTGGGAATAAGACTGAGTGGGCGGAACTGACCGCTCCACCTAGTTAGCAAAGAGAACCCATGAGATGTAAGTCAGCTTACAGCATCAACCACTAAACAGAATGGCTCCTCCTCCTCACGTTCTGGGAGCTCAGAGCCTCAGGAGGACAGTTAATACTCCCAGTCAAATAGGTCAAATAATAGTCAATACGAGTGTTTATGAGGGCTGGGCCCTGTTGCAAGAACTCCACAAACACACTCATGTAACTTCAAACATTCCCACGAAGTAGGTATAGTCAGTCATCCTCCCATGTGACAGATGAAGAAACGGAGACCCGGCCGCAACTGTTAAAGCAACCAGCCCCAGTGGACAGAATAAGCGACCAAGCAGTGGCATGCATCTATAGGTCTGCAGAATTCTGTTTTAATAAGTAATTCTGCCGGAAATAAGTAATTTAAGTAACTTACAGGTTCAAGGGAATTAGTAATGCTTTAATTCCTACTAGGTGAGCACAGTTTATTTTCATGAGAGAGCAGGGACGGCATTTCGCGCTCTGGGAAGACACTATTCTGTTCACACGCTTAAACACTCAGAAGGTGGGGAGGACTCGTACCCTGGGGTGTCTCATAGGTCAGCGTGGACATCTGCACCAGCGGGGCATCCTCGAAGGGATGGTTGTACTGCGGGAGAGACAGGGCGTCTCGTCAGGTCCGAGGGCCATGAGGAGGCCCTGACCCGGGAGGAGGAGGCGCCAGCGCGAGGCTGGAAGTCTGGAAGAACCCCCCCACCCCAAGCTCCCTCCCTCTCACCCCCCGGAAGTCTGGAAGAACCCTCCACCCAAGCTCCCTCCCTCTCGCCCCCAACCACCTCCCTCTCCATCCCAGCCCCCCAACCCCGCTTCCTCCTCTACACCCCCGTCTCCCTTACCCTTCCCGCCCCGTTGGCCCCGCGCTCCGCCGCCTCCATCCTCACCCCAGCTCCCAAGCCCGTTTTCCCCCGTCGGCTTCGCGCCCCTATCACCCCACTCCAGCGGGCCTGTGTGTGGGGGGTGCCATACCTTTTCTATCAGTCGCTGCATGTGCCTCTGGAAGCGGCGGCGGCTGTCCCGGAGCTGCCACAGCAGCGCGTCCTCCCCGAGGAGACGGTCCTCCATGGCTGCTGGAGACCCACACCCGACTCCAGCGGGAAGCGGAACGGCATCCCCTCCCGCGGCCCGTTCAAATAGCGACTCCCGCCCTTTCTGCCTGCCCTTCCCACTGCCTATTGGCTGGCACGGAAAGACCGGGTGCTGATTGGGCCTTTCAAACATAACTACGTGATTTACGTCCGGCCAATCCGCGCCCGAGTTTCCGTCCCGCCCCTCTTCGCCTCCGCGCAGGGGCGAAAAGGAGAGGGGTGGGGTCTGCCACCGCGCCTGCGTTGGGAGATGGACGGGTGGTAGGTCTGAAGGTGAAGTGCCTGTCAATGGGCCGTGCCCCTCGAGAATTTGTTGTGAAATACGTGTGCTTCTTCCTTTGTGCACCTGAGATGTCTGGGTGACTTGCAGGGGAGGAGGGAGGCGTCTCGCCTCAGTGTGGGGGCCGCCCTCCGGGTCTTGCGCTGTTAGGACCTGGGGGTCCAAGGAAGAAAACACCAAATTAGCATTACAAAAGAAGGAAAGCGAACACATATTTAAGAAGTAGAAAAACCATAAATATCACAGGATCCAAGAAAAGAATATACTTATCAACGTCCTGGCGCACCTTTTTCCCTTACGTATTTTTGAGTGCTTACTCAGCCTCTTCACTAATTCTGTAGTATTTTCTCCAGAGAGAATGGAAAGATGATTCAGCCTCTCGTTTGGATGATGTAATTTATTTTATGATTGATATTTTAGTTGTTTTATTCAGCTTCATAGCTTGGCTATATTTGTGTGCTTGTGCTGATAATACCACAGTGTGTGACTGAAAGGGGCGGGGGGCGATAGCTAGACTTAGTACTGGACAAAATCAACTCTTAAACAAAGACTATAGTAAGAGACAAGGATGTTTCATGACAAAGGAGTCAATCCATTTAGAGGACATTACATCTGTAAATATGTACGCACCCAACATAACACTTGAACACAAAGCAAATATTAACAGACTCAAAGGGAGAAATAGACAGCAGTATAGTAATATAGTAGGGACTTTAATATTCCACTTACATCAATGGATACATCATTCAGACACAAATCAATACAGAAACACTGGACTTAAGTGGTGTGTTAGATCAGATGGATTTGGATATATACGGAAACTTCTACCCCAAAGCAATAATACACATTCTTCTCAAGTGCACAAGGAACATTCTCCAGGACAGATTGTATGTTAGGCCACAAAACAAGTCTTTTTTTTTTTTCTTTCCACAAAACAAGTCTTAATAAATTCAAGAATATTGAAATCATCAAGCATCTCTTCTGACCACTGAAATTAAAAATCAATTATACAAAGAACACTGTGAAATTCCATAACTTCGAGCACTGTTTGTTCCCTTAGATGGGGCTCTTCACCAGCTCTCAGCCTGCACCCCAATCCTCTTGGGCCATCGGGCAGAAATTAAGGGAGAAGTAGGGAGTGAGAACTTTGGGGTGCATGGAGTGTAAGTGTCCAGGAAATGTATTGTGGTGGGCACAGAATGTGCCACCTGGATCTCCCTTCAAGATGCCTTGGCTCCTGGGAGGGCTATCCGCAGGTACTCTCAGTTATCAGCCTTTTCTGGGATTGCCCGTCAGTTGCAGAGGAGCCCCTCACCCATGGAGTGCAGCCTGAGGATGGCCCAAATTCACTGGCAGATCTAGATGGGACTATCGGGGCTGGGCCATTTCACTCAAGTGGAGGACAGCCCTGGTGGTTCATTCCAGCTCCTGAGCTCTCCATTGAATCGGTGGAGGCAAACTGTCCCATCTTGATTCCTTCCCTCCCTTCCATAGGTCTCAACCTGAGGGGCACTTCCTAACAAACACCCTGCACGATAACTCAGTCTTCCAGTCTGATTTCTGCAGGACCCAACCTGTAACAAGGACCTTGCTGCAAGTGGCCACTGAACCTACACATTCAATTTCTCACTTTTTGAACTTTTGCAGATAGACTACGTTTTCTTCCTCCCCCTCCCTTGGGAGTGTTTAGAAATTTAACATGCTGTTCCCTGTTTCCACACAAGTTAGTTTCAAACATTTAACTCATCACATTTAGAGATTTGAGACTTCAAAATTGGCCTCTCCTGGGGCTTGATGCCCACTTCTAGGAAACCACACCTGGATTCCAGAGTGAATCTTCCCTTCCTTCACTGACTGTACAAGGATCTGCCTTCACCCCAGGGATTCATGGGCAGCTTCAGGGGAACAATTTCTTAATCTCAAGTTCATGTCTTTAATTGAAATTCCCAAAACACACCCACTTCGGCCAATCCCCTGTGAACCAAACAAAACCAGTGCATTGGCTCTTGTCCTTCTGGCCAGCTGTTTTCCCAGTCCTCTCTGATGGAGTTTTACCCATCCCTTGGCCCAAAGTGGTGGCCCAGCTAAGGAAGGAGCCCTGAAAGATGTTTTTTTTTTTTTGATACCATTCTCTACAAATAACCTGTCCCTATGTAGCAGCCTAAACATGTGACCTCAGGACCCCAGGGTTGCTATGAAAACTACTCCAGCACCGCTCCCGTGTAACAGGGGAGGATCACAAATCAGCTCCTTCCCTAGCAGCAGAAATGGCTGGGTGCAGCACTTAGGGTCTCACAGGGTTTCCATAGCAACAGAGATGAAGGTGCGCTCAGCCCTGCGGCAGGATCCTTCTCCACCTCCGGTTGCGTTTGCACAGCGCCCTCTTCTGGCCTGGCCTGAATTTTCAAGCCTCTAAGTGCTGTACAAAATT